CACATCTAGAGTGTGTGTGTGTGTGTGTGTGTGTGTGTGTGTTTTATCTGATCCGGATGGTTACAAATTCCTTTTCTTTTGACCATGGGTGTTACAAAGTTGACTAAATCCTCCAAAATTCAATGACAGTGGTGATCAGCAGTTGTATATGTTCAAATTTCTTCTGTGAAGGATATCATAAAGCCTTCAGGCAATCGAATGTAAAACAACAAACTTATGATTGAAGAAAGTAGTAAATCGGTCAGATTTGACCCGAAGACAACAGGAGGGTTAAAGAGGATGAAGGCCACATGTAAAAACAATACTTTGAGCTCTTTGTCTGACGGTACAGAGTCAAATACAGTCGCCCTAAATCTCCTCCTTAAAATGAAATCATTTTATTTTACGTATGGCCTTGAATAATCATTGCTTTAAACTCAATAAATCAACATATTTTATTTATTGAGAATACACTTTGGTCCACATCGTCCAACACGTTGCCTTCAAGATTGTCTTTTGCATAATGATACCTCAGAAATGTTTTTGAGTTTAGTTGAACTCTGCCTTTACAGAACAAATTTATTTTTCTCCATGGTCTTCCCTAAAAACAATATGAATAAGAATATGGTTATATTCATCCTAAACCTGTGTTTATGCTTATGGTTCTTGAATAATCTCTGTTATAAATTCACCAAATCACCATATTTGATCAAAAAAACACACATGCTTTCCCATATGTTGGTTTTTAATATTATAACGCCACCTCAGAAATGTGTTAAGGTAAAGCCACATGTGTCTCAGAATTCTAATTAAAATAAATACCTTTTATAATTTTCACATGTGGTGCCGATCGTCTTCCGTGAAAACAAACTCAATTGCAATATGTTTTGTATCCTAACCTGTGCATATGGCTGCTTAAACCTCCTGCTCAATGTCACTGAATCATTGTATTTGATTTTAAAATAAACCTCAACGTTGTCCACATTTCAAGATTTGCCCTTTTTGTAATAACGCCGCCTCTGACGTGTCACCATGTCGTCACGCTCTCATCAGAACAGTTTGAAAGGCTTCGTGCTCTCAGAGGATCATCATCGCCTCACAGCAGGGGGGCAGCGACACTCTCCTGCTTCATTACACTTTGTGAACAAAAAAGAATTGTGACTGATACATCTATAAAAAGCAACTGAGTGAAGGTGTTTCATTTGTAAAAAGAAAACCTCCAAAGATGCTTCCTTCTCTTGCAGGACAGGGCTGTGATGAATGAGGCATTGATTGAGAAAAGCCCTGCTGGCAGAATGATTAACATCTTATTCTGGCCGAGCTGTGAGGTCTAAATCATTCCCCGTACGTGCTACAGTATATTTTGTTATCTACCTCGTAAAAGCCCACAGAGTGTGTGGGATGAGACGTTCACTGACCATGTTTGGGTGACCCTCTTTCTTAAAAAAAGGCTTGGGAAGTCAGTCAGCAGGGACGTCTCCTGTTAGGGTGTTTCCTGTTGGCAAAGAATTTCATTCAGAACAAAAATAAAAAGCATTTAGATTGCATGTCTACTAGTTTTTAGTACCTGTAATTGTGTTTGTAATCGTAGTATTGTAGCTGCATTTCCCTACAGGTACAAATACAGGTTTGTCTTGTCTTTTTAAGGGTTGATAAGTATTCATTACATCTCCTGTGTGTATAAATAATTGAATGATGGACCAAAATCCACCAAGAAAGTGATTGATTTTGAGGCCCAGTGGCCTAATGGACACCAGCCTCCGAAGCTGTGGATTGTGGGTTCGAGTCCCATCTCATAACTGTTACAAAAATAAAAACACAAGTTTAAAAACCTAACTTAATAAAAACTGACTCAATGACTTTCCAATCACACCTGAATATAATGCAGCCATAGGTCAAAATGAGCTGCTTGTGAATAAGGCCATGTTAACGACAGAATGAAACAACACCCTGGCTTTTTGTCACTTTTTGAAAGATAATGAAACAGAGTGAAAGAGGATCTCTCACTGTCACTGCACACAGGTCTGCTACTTTAACTAGTACTGTGCATTATAGTGCAGGTGAGAAGACCCTGCTCCGACCTGGATCAACGTACTAGTAAATTATAGTTATCTAAATTAAGTATAACTGTGTTTTAATCACTTAATAATAAAGCATAGCTTTTTTTTAATAAATGTATTGACATGTATACAACACACGTCATTAAAAACATAATATAAATAACAAATTTCAGCTAAATCTTTAGGTCGGGAAGTGAGAAGACTTTGGCTTTGCTGCCCTCTTGTGGTAAAATATGTACACAGCAACATACCTGGCTAAAATGAACGTTTTAATGCAAATTAATGCTAATTTAAACCACTTTATCATTACAATGTGGAAGCCAATATTATACCTTTTTACTCTATATATCTGTGTAAGTGTTATTCAGCCTACTAGTTTGTTGCAGGTAAATATTATTAAAGGCAAAATATTAATCAACTAATAAGCTATGATGTAATATTATGGATTGAAGCACCTTGGAAGTATAAAAAGTCATTAGCTCCACCTTTAACTGCTGCAAAATTAAAATAATGCACACACTTATACATCACTTACTATAATTAAGTGATGCATGATCTTGGGGGGAAATGGCCATTCTGCATAATGAATAGTAAGTAATGTAATATATTTTGATGCTAATTATTTTTGCCCTAACTTGTGTTTTTCTTGTCACAGAGTATTTCTACAATGTGGTAGAAGTAGGTATTACTCCTTGTATTCAAATATCTGAGTACTTATTCCACCTGTGATGAGGGTCACGCCCTCATGAATATTACAAGAGTTGACGTCAGCCCACGACGCATGCGCAGTGGGAAGTGAAAGTCTTAACGAACAAACAACAACAGCGGTGTGAGTGAAACTACTGTTGATAACCTCGATGTTTATAGGTGTAGAATTCCCCGAAAAATACTGTTAAAGCGAAACGAAACACTAAATAAAGCCGAAAGGAAGGAAGAGAAACCTTTGAGCTTCGGAAGGAACAGCTGACAGAGAGACGTCACGGACACTTTGCTTCCTGTTGTGAGTGTGGATATGAAATGTTGACAAAAATGTCGTTAAAACGGCAACCATCGACAGGCTGAACCACCCGGACCCTGTGTGTCTACAGCCAGGATGTCTCTGACTTCAGGCGGTTGGGCACCAGGTTTTACGCAGGACCAACAGACCCAGGGCCAGACCCCCGCCCTCCAGGGTCTCCATGCCGGGGCCCAGCACCCTCAGCCCGGTTGCCACACCGTCCTCGCGTCGGTCCGGGTGTCGGTGTGTCACTCCGGGATCCGGCCCCTGTGTCTCCCCGGGGCAGGAGACATGTCTCTCCGCCTGCAGCTCAGCATGGACCCGGGGAAGTCCGGGGAATTCCGTCTGTCGCTCCAGCAGGAGAGCGGGGGGGTCGGCCGCAGCGTGGTGAGTTCAGGGACAGATGTAACACTATACACTCAAGTAAGGTACAGTTTTGAAGTCCTTGTACTTTACTTCAGCATTGACATGTAATGCTACCTTTTACTTCTACTCCACTACTTCTCTCAGAGGTCAATATTGTGTTTTTTATACTACATGTTAAGCTTATTTAGATTAGATGATATGTACTTTATTGATCTCAAATGTGGAAATTGGAGATTCTGTATAATAAGTACTTTTATTTGTGTTACATAGATGTTTACACTTTTGTAGTTAGCTAAAACATTGAATTCAGGACTTACCTAAGAGAATTTCTACATTTAGGCTTTAGTACTTTTGGTAAAACATCCCACAAATATGGTGTGTGGAAATATTTTGAAATAAAACCAAATGTTGATGGTAACTGTCTAAGGCTGTAGTTTCCAACATGATTTGGCTTGTTTACAAAACCTAAATATTGTGGTGGATTTGATTCAGCACATTTATTTATAAGATTTGCAACATACACATGACTTAAACAACAATGGTTTTATGTTTCCCTCTATTAGAAAGGCCCTCAACATGGCATAACATCCTATTTCAGTTACATATATTCAGAGTAACATGCATAACCTCAACATAATTGCCACTCTTTGAACCTTGGGGATTCATTAACCTTCCCAAATTGTTCCTACCTCATCTCGTCTCATTCTTGCTTTCCTTTCTTCATTTCCCAGACCGTCACAGAGTTTGATCTGAGGAGCGTGAACTATGAGGTGAAGTCACCAAAGTGTCACGAGCTGAGTCTGGCGGCGCCTCCTCACGACCGCATCAGCTTCAACTTCCGCTGCGAGGTGGACGCGCAGGAGTGGGCCACGGTGGTGCTGTCATCACTGAGGGAGACGCACAGAGGTCAGTGTCCTTCCTGCCAAATTCTGCTCCTTAGATCACAACCACAGCACCTTCCTGCCAAATACTGCTCCTTAGATCACAACCCAGAGCTGGCAAAAGTACACACATCCTTTACTCAAGTAGAAGTACAGATACTCGTGCCTAAAAATACTCTGGTACAAGTAGAAGTACTGACTAAACTTCTTTACTCAAGTAAAAGTAAAGAAGTATGGGCTTTGAAATGTACTTAAGTAAAAAGTACCCATAACTAGCAGCTGTTTTAAAGAGTACCTGACCTCCCTTTATATTAATAGAACAATAATTATTGTATTTGGGTTCAAAATGTAAGAAGTAGAAAGTACAGGTATTTGTGTTCAAAATGTAAGAAGTAGAAAGTACAGGTATTTGTGTTCAACATGTAAGAAGTAGAAAGTACAGGTATTTGTGTAAGAAGTAGAAAGTACAGGTATTTGTGTTCAACATGTAAGAAGTAGAAAGTACAGGTATTTGTGTTCAACATGTAAGAAGTCAAAGTAAAAAGTCGTAGTGGAGTAAAGTACTGATACCAGAAAAATGTAATTAAGTACAGTAACAAAGTATTTGTACTCCACTACTTCCCTCCTCTGTAACAACCACAGCAGAATGGAGGGTGTGGAAATGTAGATATTCGTGAGCAAAACTGCAGGAACATTTAAGGAAAAGCCCTGTTGTCTGTGATTTGGAGTAATGATGTTGCCCTTCAGCGAACTACTTCATGCTAATCCAGCGTGATGAATCCAGCTGGTTATATCATTATTTATTTGAACAAAAGAGCTTTTCTCTACAGTCCATCTCAACCACTGTAAACAAGCTCCATATTGTGGTTGACGGGGGAATATCAATAAGTTGCTCTGTGCTGAATCACAAACATGCCCCTTGTTTACTCAATTACATTCATGGAAAAGTAAAAAAAGAAAGGTGTAAGAAAGTTAATGGAATGATAAAACTGAGCCATGGATAAATATTAAATTCATTACCGGTGGCTGCATCACAAACTCATGCCCATACGTTTCAATTAACTTAGCATTTAAATAACCTTAATAAATAAGATCAGAAATAAATATTTACCGTGTTATTGACTATGTTGCTGACTGTTCTAATAAAATATGTTAAAACCTTTTCTGTGTAGATGAAGAGTCTGGTTAATAAGTGCCTTTTTCATATTTAAATGTCAAAAAACAACTTAATCTTTGTGTTACAAATTGACAGTAGAAGAGATGTTTCTGTAGAATCTGAATCTGTGTCTTTTATCCATTTGTTTATCTAAATCTCTTCTTCTCATTGGCAGTCGCCCCTCACCACTACAGTCCACCGCGCCCCCCCGATGCGCTCCAATTTGAAAAAACAACAGCCTTGCAACGAACAGGTGTGAACTCAGATTAATATAAAGTATTATCTGATTGATTTCTTTTAGATGTGATGTAACTAATTCCCTGATTCCCTCACTCCTTGTATTCATTCATTCATTGAATCAGCCCTCTAGTGGCTGTTTGGAGGTATGGCAACATCCTCTTCACACTGTGTTCACCTGTGTGGGGTTGTGTGTGCTTCGTTCTGCATGCGTGTGTGTGTGTGTGTGTGTGTGTGTGTGTATCCATCTGTAGAGGACACCTGCCTAGAGCTGACTCGAGCCATAGAGGCAGGCGACATGC